AATGTGCATCTAAAGCAGACCGTGGCTTTTGTGACCGCGTATGTAGTCGCATGAAATTTATCTGTGAAACTTCGTGTCCACTTTATTCGCTTACAATGTTTATCGTGTACTGACCCACTAAATTTCGCTGTAATTCATTGTCCCGAGAAACATAAATGAACGAAAATGTTGAATAAATGAACATGATACTTTCCTATGCACTATACAATTGACAATTGATCATTCTAGAACACGTGATTTTGACATGGTTTCTTGAGGGGCACATAAACTATCTGTAAGGTTACCTTTGATGAGCATATAGCCCTGGCCAATCCTGCCACATCCACAATATAATAACAGTTTCACCAAACAGAATTATGAAATTATTTTGGGTTGTAACTAGGATTCCAAGGAAAACGATCCCACTAATTCTGGTTCCTCTTGACAATTCTTGACAAAATACAATGTTTGCCCCTCAGCAACCTGTCAAATGACGTAATTCTGGAATGATTAATACATTGAAAACTTTGTTCCAGCGATTCTAGAGTCCAATACTGATATTTCAAGACCTATATTGTCACGTGATTTAAATATTTTTTTATGAAAATATGATGAATATTATAAACAATTGAAGTGTAACAGCAACACTGAGTTCAATGACGTAGCCATCAATTCCAAAATGTTCATCATGTTTTTCCAATGTATCAACTTCACAGAACCTCCAGAAGTTAAAAAAAAATCCAACACCTATCTCCTCTCCCTATCCTCCAAAGGTACGCACGATGTCCCACGAACAGTATAGGAATTTCTTTTGGTGCCCTCCAAGAGATTAACAAAAAGTGGGCGGAGACTAAGAGAATATCGAAATTATACGACTTCCTCTTTTAACTAGGGGCGGATGAGGACGACGCCAACTGCAACGCTGGAGGTACTGAACATTATAGGGATTCCCTTTCGTGCGCTTCAAGCGATAAAAAAAAAAGAGGGAAGCAATGGCGGCCTATCTGAGGATGCGGGACTCTGGGAGTTGGGCTAACGGAGGAGCAGTGACAGGTCACGCGGAAATTACGACATGGGTGGAGCAGGAGATCCCTATCTCCACCCTGAGAGTGAAGAACGCTCAAAATAGGCTGAGATGGAATAGAAGGTTCACCCTTACTATTCCAAGCAGGGAACAATGGGAAGAGAACAGAGTGGAATTCCGTCCAGGGAGTCTAGTATGTTATACGGACGGATCGCGCCTAACTGACAAACAGGACTCAGGTGCAGGAATTTACCTAGAAGGAATAGGCATAAGGAAGAGCTACGCTCTTGGAAAGTATACCACAGTTTTCCAGGCTGAGGTCTTTGCCATTCTGGCAGCAGCGGAGAGGCAAGAGGTGGAAGAGGGACCAGAGCAGAAGATTTACATCTGCTCGGATAGTCAGGCGGCTCTCAGGGATATCTGCCATCCTAAACCAAGCTCAGCTTTGGTGCAGGAATGTGGCGATGCTCTTGAGAAACTAGCTGAACAGAAGAAAGTCGAACTAGTATGGGTTCCGGGTCACAGGGGGTGCCCGGGAACGAGGTGGCCGACGAGCTGGCTAGAATCGGAACCGCGACACCGTTCTGGGGACCGGAGCCTGCACTGGGCATAACAAGAAGCCAAACTTCGTCTGCCCTTAACAAATGGGCGGACGAGGCACTAGAAGGATATTGGAGGCGTATAGGCGGCTGCAGGCAATCGAGAGACCTGGTGGCCGGTCCAAGCAAGCCAAAGACGGCTTGGTTACGGGGCAGAGATCGCCAAGTCCTGCGCCTTCTTATAGGGGTACTGACAGGGCACAACAGGTTACGCAGACACCTATCACTCATAGGTGTGGAAGATAGTCCCACTTACCGTGAATGCGGAGAAGATGAGGAGACATCACTTCACTTCCTCGGAGAGTGTGAGGCGTATGGAAGAATGAGATTCGAAATCTTTGGAGTAGATAAACTACAACAGGAAGATTTGGCCGAATTAGAGTGGACGGACATCCTGACCTTCATCAGAAGGAGGGGAAGGTTCGAAAAGGACAATTAAAATAGGGATGTGTAAATAGGTGGAGAGCAGGGGTTGGCAAAAAGGGACCATGGGGGCCTACTTGCCTGGCTACAGCCTCCCCACAATACTATTACTACTACTAGGGGCGGAGACTAAGGCAATAACGAAATTATACGCATTTCTTGAAGTCTTGAAGCACGACTTCGAGGCTGAGAAAAATAGTTATTTTTTTCCAAACGGCACAGAAAGTGGCTTTTCTATGACATTTGACAGGCAGCTAAGGTGTACTTGCTCTGCCTAGGCAGAACACAAAATGATGGAGTTTTCAATAGTAAAAATTACACAAAATTGGTATTATAACATTTGGAGAAAAAATTATATGTTTCACAAGGCAGCAAAGTAGATTGAGTGCCTTGGCTGAATTGCTACCTATCAAATAACCAAATAACTATTGTTTTACTAGACAGAAAAGCACAAGATTCTATGCCGCGGCTGGCGTTTCATAGCCAAGGCATTAAATCTGCTTTTCTGCCATGTGGAACATATCATTTTTTCTCCAAATTTGTTCCAATTTTTTTTCAATCTCCTGGAGCGCACGAGAGAAAATTTCAATAATGTTCGAACGCAAAGTCCAAATAATCCATCATTTTGCGTTCACTCAAAGTCAATGACAATTTTGATTACCAATTTGATGCAAATTATTATTTGGAACGTTGCATAGTAAAACACTTTTTCTGCCTAGGCAGAGAAAGTACATTCATTATTCCAGATTTTTTTGGGATTTTCTCTCCTCGTCTCTATAAAATAAAAATATGAATACTATTTCAATATACGTGTAGTGAGGACAAATCAGATGACTTGCCCCAAAATGTAACAGCGTATAAAGAATTTTCCTATCACTGACAAGCTAGTGAATTTTTCTTTTAGGCTCTCTGATAGGAACATTCTTTAAACGCAGTGACATTTTGGGGCAAATCATCTGATTTGTCGTAACTACACGTATATTGAAGAAATAGTATTCATATTTTTATTTTATTGAGAAAAGACGAGAAAATCTCAAAAAAATCTGGAATAATGAATGTACCACCTCCTCGATTAACCTACAGACAGTATTTAGAGAAAGTACACTTTTTCTGCATGTGGAGTGTCATAGAAGAAAAGCCACTTCAAATGTCATTTGGAGAAAAATAAAATTTCGCGACTTTCTCTCTAACAAGGGGGCGGAGCCTAAGATAATGATGAACTAGGCAAGAACACGAAAGCGTAAACATTACGTATAAATTTTTCCGAGAATTTTCGAATAAAATATACTTCAGTTAGTTGTATAGCGTTCGGCAGCAAATTCGTCTATCCAGTACTGCTATCATAATCCCTTTCGCTGTGTTGCCAGCTGTTTTATTTTGAGGAAATATCAAGCAGTAAAACATTTCTCAATTAGAATTTATTGCATGGTGTTATATGGATGTAAAGTGTTTCAAAAATCCTTTCCCTAGTTTTATTGTGCTGTTTTCCGTGAAATCCAGAAGAAACTATATGAAGATTGACCACTATCAGACATTTCGGAAAGTCTATATATGTACAGTAGATATTTGGAAAGTGGAGTTTAAACTGTCTTCGTTCATCCATTAGTCAATTACACAAATCAGTTGAATCTTTAGAGCGATGCATGTTGAAATACCCAATATTCCAACAAGCTAAAGAATCGGTCGAGACGGCAACGCTGTTTATATCACTGAAAAGTGATTTGTCGACTTTTCTCGAATTCCAATAGACCATCGGCGCGTTATAATATTACTTGTGACGTCAGTACTGCTGACGATTTTTCTTAGTGTTCTAACGGAAGCATTTCTTTGGGAGTTTATTTCGGGAGAGAATAATAATACACTCACCGGCAAAAAAAACGGCCATCAAAAAATTTTGCCAAACTATCCACCCTGTAACTTTTTTAATTCTTGTCCGATTTTAGTGAAATTTTGATCAAATCGTATATTAATGTTTCGGAATGTTAGCACGAACATCAGGTTTTGAGTAAAGCTGATGGCCATATTATTATACAAGGAAAAACAAAAGTTACCCTTTCACCCTTACCGCCCTGTAGAAAAGGTGAGTGGTTAAACTTGAGTTCATTATGTTTTGGATTTAACTGTGCTTTCTTCTCGATATAATGGTTTTTGATTCACATCCATAACCACATTTTAAGAGGTGATACAAGTGTTTTAAGAAAGTATGGATTTATTCATTTTTAAATCATGAAATTCATCCATATCTTAAAGTGGTCCAATGTAATTTCAAAAGAAAAATGAAAGAACCCTTCTGTTCCATCATCTTATGAATTGGTTGAATGTTGAATGCTGTAATTCAAACCCGAGGAGGGCATATTCGCTATTGACTCAGGGCCTATCTTAGGCCCTGATTGACTTCAGGTCTGCTTTTTATTTGTTTTTTGTAATGAAGGTTTTTTTCCGGTCAGTGTTAAGAAAATGAGGTAGAAAATAGGTTGAATAAATTCTTTGAGGTAAATTAATTCATTAACTTGTTATTCAATGAGTTTATGTAGGTTCTGTTAATTATTAATAAAAATTGAAATATGCTATACTTTCTCAAAATACTCGTATCTTCTCTTAAACATGAGATATTGACGTGAATAAAAAACAAGTGTGTTAAGAATGGATCACACTTCAATCCGCGGCATGATGATGCCAAGTTCGACCACTCAATTTTGCCACAGGGTGTTGAGAAGTAAAGATTGAAATTGTAACTTTTGTTTTTCCCAGTGTAATGATCAAGTCATCAGCTATCCACGCAAACTCATATTCAGGCTAACATTCCGAAACATTGATCTGCGATTTGATTAAAATTTCACAAAAATCGGACATGGATTAAAAAAGTTACAGGATGAACAATTTGGGCACATTTTTTGGTGACCGGTTATTTTTGCCGGTTAGTGTATATTGATATTATATCGTCAATTGATGCCAGTTTTTCTTTGCGCTTGCAGACCTGCTACGAGATGGAGAGGTACCTCAAAGAGGAGCCGAAGATGAAGTCGTCGTACAAGAAACTCTCCTCGGAGATGAACCGCAGCACGTGGTACGGCATGAACTGCCTGGACGACTACTGCGGCGATCGGCTGAGCTCGGCCAGCTCGCCCTGCTCGTGGGATAGCGCCCTCTCGTGTGCGATCCTCGTCAAGCAGGTACGTCAGTTTTTTTTTATGTTCTGGTTCCCACGAAAAGGGATATCTTGTAATGTTCAGAGAACATCGTGAGAACCAAGGAAAATTAGGTACACAGTAAAAAAACGCTTCGAGTTAAATTCGCAGAGTATGTTTTTAGAGTAAAAGTACTCTGACAAACTCACTCTGATACTGCAATCAACTCTATAACTACACTCCTCGCAGATTATTTGTCTTGAAACTAATTCTAGATTGAATTTGCACCAATTCCGTATTGAATTCACTCTATACAGGGTGTCCCTAAAAGGTGCGGAAAAAAAGCTACCACAAGTTCCTGAGGCGTAAATATGACGATCTAACTCAACTTACCTCAGTCCAAAAGTGGATTATTTTAGAGATACAGAGTGTCAAAAGTTGAATTTCATTTTCATTTTCTATAAATATTTTTTTTAATAATTGGTGTATTGTCACAATATTCGACTTGGGGGGGTTTTGCTGGTTGAGAAATTAGAATTTGCTATCATCTTTATTGTAAAATTAAGAGGGCGCCACCTGCGGAACCTTGCACACATTCAAAACGAAATAACTTTTTTGAGCCACCCCATATTTAATTTTTAAATGAAAATTCGGATTGTCCAACGTCTTTTACATAAAAAATGTATACTTGGTAAGAGTTGATTTGAGCAGCTGTTTTTGAGATATCTGGATTTTAAAAATTCACTTCGTAAATGGCCAGGTCTAAATCATTGTAATAAAATAATTTAACACATTTGAAGAGTAGGCGGTGAATTAAAATAACGTCACTAAAAACTGACTTGGGTCAAATCGAATCTAAAAAACAAGTCAAGACAATTGTCCCCTGATTTGACACCGATGGATTATTTTTTATGGGGAGCTTTGAAACCCCTGGTGTATTCTAGGCCAGTAAATACAGAAGACGTATTGAAACTGAAATTGACGCTTCAAGAAATGATGACGGAATGCTCCAAAGTGTTCAATTTAACTTTTTGAAAAGTATTAATCTTTATACACACGAAAATGGAGGCCATTTTGAACATTTTTTGTTAAACTCATTTTTTTCAATTAAATTAAATTAAACTTTTTGTGTTGATAAATCTCCTATTCCTATTCCTAATGGCTATTTTCACTAGAGAATAAAATTACCAACACATTTATGTACCTACTTCTTTTTTTTCTAAGTTTCTAGTGACGTTATTTTAATTTACCGCCTACGCTTCAAATGTGTTCAATTCTATTATTACAATAATTTAGACCTGGCCATTTACGAAGTGAATTTTTAAAATCCAGATATCTCAAAAACAGCTGCTCAAATAAACTCTTACGTATACACGTATACATTTTCTATGTAAAAGACGTTGGACAATCCGAATTTTCATTTAAAAATTAAATATGGGGTGGCTCAAAAAAGTTATTCCGTTTTAAATGTGTGCAAGGTTCCGCAGGTGGCGCCCTCTTAACTTTACAATAAAAATTATAGCAAATTCTAATTTCTCAACCAGCAAAACCCCCCCAAGCCGAATATTGTGACAATACACCAATTATTGAAAAAAATATTTATAAAAAATGAGAATCAAATTGAACTTTTGACACTCTGTATCTCTGAAATCATGCACTTTTGGACTGAGGTAAGTTGAGTGAGATCGTCATATTTACGCCTCAGGAACTTGTGGTAGCTTTTTTTCCGCACCTTTTAGGGACACCCTGTATATCCCTGAAATTTCAATAAAATAGCAATTCAGATAACTCAATTCACAAACAATTGGAATTGGATTCGTACTAGTGTTAAGTGAACTTGAATGTTCCACTCTTGTCGATTAAATTGACTCAATCTATACAGTTTCAGATCGTTTAGTCAACTGGAAAGTGAAATAAATAATACTGATTATAGTGTCGATAATATAATGATCATGATATTAGCTTCAAGTAGCTTTTTTACTATACCCGCGTAGTGAGAGATGTTTTTCAACATTGAGTTAGTAACGAATTTCAGTATACCTATCTCATTTATTTTCCTATTTTTCAGTTTCGAATTATTATTTGGAACGATTTATTAAACAGATGGGTTCAACTAATTAGTCTAGTGTCTTTTTTATTTGGCAAATATATGACAGCAAACCGATTGATAAAATCACGTTGACAATATAAATATGGACTTGGAAACAATTGTCGAATAGGGATCCAATAACTCGGTAGATTTCAATGCAAACAAAACACAAGCATGCCTTTGCTCTAGAAAAGCCGATCTCACTGTGCCCAACATAAGCTTCTCAGGAGTAACCATACCTTTGAAGACATCCATTTCGATGCTTGGTATTACTATCAGCAATAACCTTTCAATCAATCAATTGCTAAAAGTTTTCGATAATTGCATTGTTCTTATGGAACATTTCAAATATGAGGGAAATATTCGTGGGTAATATCCCGAGACCATGACGAATAGCCGACTATTATTTTCTTCATAATTCTATCGAGAGTAATTTGTATTTTGACAATTTGATGAGACCATATGAACATCAATTAGCTCGAGGGAGTTATTCTATGATTATTTATGTTCATATGGTCGAATTGAATTGTCCCATAATACAAGTTACTCGAGATGAATTATAGAAAATAATAGTCTCCATTTGTCATGGTCGAGTGATATTCAGGAAGATTATTTCATGAACAGTGTAAAAATACTGGTTCATATGAGTTTCACCATTTTATTCAAGTTGAATTTCACAATTCTATCTACGGTTAGAGCAAAGAAAGAATATTAACGCTTTCATTAGAGCTTCTGTACTTTCTTTTCTTGTTTGAGGAAAATATTGTAGGCTTCGCCTTTTTGCATTATGCCTCGCATTATGCGCAACCCTAGCAACTATGAATTCAATATATTCGAATAGATTCGTCTTACGTTTATGTTCATTGAATTAACCTTCCTGTATATAGTTTTCCATATCAATTTCAACTGTGTATTCCTAATACCTCACCCAATCTTCCAGGATTGGGGCAATCACGAGTAGTCGTACAAAATTCATAGTTTTTCTGCTGGCAAAAAAACATGAATTGTTCCAGACAGACTATTTACTCTCCTTGTTATTTTCTGATATCGATTCGCTTACATAATTACGGATTTCCGTAGTGGAGGTTGACCCAAAACGAGACATTTTAATTTTTGAGTGTCTAATAGGTATGTCAAAGGTTGACAACCATTATATATAGCACTCTTATACTGGCGAACAGAATATCCGCTCATATTGTTTGTTTACCTAAATAGCCGCTGATATCGCATACCATGTGACTTCAATCATGACATTTCATAGGTCCAGCCGGGTGTGAATAAAATAATCGATAATATTTGAAAGACTCGTGGTATTACCTCCGACAAATTCTATTTCACTTCTCCTTCTCCAGGAACCCCTCGATGACATCGACGACGATGACGACGAAGATCCCGACGACGACGACGAGGACGCCTTCGTGCGTCTCCGCCTAGGCCGCGCCTCCTCCGCCCTGACTCCGCCTTCCTCGCCCGAATCGGGCAGGGGCGGGGCGAGCAACGAAAGCTCGGGCGGCGCCAGCGACGTCGACGTCTGCGCGCTGCGTCTCACCTCCCACTCCTCGCACCCGTCGAGCCACGGGCCACGCCCCCACCGCAATGCGATAGTGCGCGTGCGCGCGTCCGGCCTCGCGCGCTACATCTCGGTGGTGCCGCGACCGACGGGGGCGGTGTCGGTGGGCGGGGCAGTGGGTGGGGGAGGGGGAGTTGCGGGGGCGGGGTCTGCTGGGGGTGGAGGCGCGGGGCGGGGCCACTCGCGGTTGGACCATTCGCCGGACTTGAAGCGGCGGATACACAAGTGCCAGTTTCTCGGGTGCAAGAAGGTGTATACGAAAAGTTCGCACCTCAAGGCGCATCAGAGGACGCACACAGGTCAGTAACTACATATTTTTTCTATTTATCACACCGGGGTAATACCCATTTACAAATACATTTGAAAAGATATAAATTGTCAAAAATCAACAACATTGGTACAAAGTTAAAACTGAATAGTAAAATCCTCGCCAAAAATAGTTTTCTACAAATTACCACATACAACAGGCAATGTATTATATCGAAGACTGGAACCTTTTGAAAGTTACATCTTGAAGACACCCAGAATCTACCGAGTCAGCGAGATAGGACACCGCCGTGAGAATGCCAGTTCAACCGAGTTTAGCTCATTTCCCATTACCATGTACAATTCAGTCTGACTTAATATCTCGATCCATTAACTTCAACTCGAATTGTAATCCGTGTTTCGGTAATAAAATAAATCTTTTTAAAAACGATTTTTTCCGCAATACATATTTAACTGGCACGATAATACACTACACACTGTTTTACCACTAACCAAACCGATCTTTTGCTACACCTCGACACGTGTTTCGCTAACTATGTTAGCATCTTCAGGAGAAGATTGAAACAGTTTCAGATTTCGTTAATAATTATAATCAATAAACAACAAACGACAGTTGTTGTCAACCCACTCCCCGCGACGACCAGGGTTGCCAGTTTGATTTTCACTCCATCCGTAAATATCTTGTCAAAAATTCAGTAGATTTCAATAGATCTGTTCAAGATCTATTTTATGCTATACAAATTCCAAGAAAGGATGGTGAAATGAACCTATGACGTCGGAAAATTATGTACTTTTAGTGAACAGAGAAAAAACCTATATTTCCAATATTTATGAACACAAAAAAATGGATATATACAGGGTGGGTCACGGTGGATGGCCTATTAGAAGTATCTGGAGAACGAAAAGACAGAACATTCTGAAAATTGGGATGCTTTGATAATTGAACATTCTCTATTCGTCAAAAATGTTTTCATCGATACAATGTTGCCACTTATATCAGAAACAACTAGCAACTTTGTTATTTTAAATGAAGCACCCTGTATTTCATTACATTTTCAGATTCTTCCTGAAGAGCTAATTTCATAAATGTATCACACTTGGGGTCTAACAGAAATGATTACAGAGATATAGGGTGTTCAAAATCGAGATTTTTCAATTTTAGGATTTTTTTGTGTCCAAACTATTCATTATCGATGAAAACGGCTTACATGTCCCTATCTCAACTTTCGATCCACTATCTACTGACATTTGATTGGAACAGATACAGGGTGGTCAGAATTCTGAATTTTGAAGCACCCTGTGATTTTTCCAATTAAGTTCCAGTAGATAGTGAATCAAAGGTTAAGATAGGGACATGTAAGCCGTTTTGATCTATAATGTATAGTTTCGACACGAAAAAAATCCTAAAATTGAAAAATCTAGATTTTGAATACCCTATATCTCTGTAATCATTTCTGCTAGACCCCAAGTGTGATGCATTGATGAAATCAGCTCCTCAGGAAGAATCTAAAAATGCAATAAAATACAGGGTGTTCCATTTGAAATAACAAAGTTGCTAGTTGTTTCTGATAGAAGTGGCAACACTGTATCGATGAAAACATTTTAGACGAATAGAGAATGTTCAATTATCAAAGCATCCTAATTTCCAGAATGTTCTGTCTTTTCGTTCTCCAGATACTTCTAATAGGCCATCCACCGTGACCCACCCTGTATATAAAGAAATACATTGAGAATTCGCATTCTCCATAAAAAGAAAAAAGTATAAAAAAATTAGTACCCATATGTACATTTGTTACTTATTATGTAAAATTAATTCAAACAGAGCGTGCCGAAATATCATGCATTTTATAAGTGTTTGTGATTAACTGAAGATTGATAATAATATAGGTAATTATAATGATAAGTAAGTGTCAAAATATTTGTTAGTAGATTATGCAATGTAGATCAATATGCAAATCAGGTGATCTACTGAAAATTCAGTAGAACTGGCAACACTGCAGCAAATAAAAAGTTAGTGTCTGCGGACCAAAAGTACTTGCCTTCGGAAATAGTCGGTTTTAGAGGTCAACAAATGAAATCTATCGATTATGTCACTTATTTCTCTATCCATTGAACGGTGTTGTGATCGGCTCACGAGCGATTTTGGTAGAGGCAAGAAACACCCTGTACGTATAGCGTTGGAATGGTTAATGGATCGTGGTTTTGAGGAAAACTTCCAGCAAAAATGTGTGGCCTTTATAAGAGCTTTCCAGGTCCGCTGTTCCTTTTTCGATTCAACTTTCTCATATAACCTGTCATGTTCGTTCACTTCGAATGATATAACGGTGTTATTGAAACTTTCAGAGCGAATTTCATTAATAGCACGATCTAAAACTGAATTGACAGTCAATAAGCTACTCAAGGCAGTTTTCGCAATTTCCAGCATTATTTTTATTCGACGTTCTGATGGGTGCATTACTTTGAAGACCTTATAATATAGAGGGAAACGAAATGATCCGATATACAAGGTGGCTGGAATGGCTGAATTTTCATAAAATTAGTTTCGCACTGATTATTGGATTGTGCTTCTGCAATCTATAATGACAATTGAAATGATTCAAAGCATTTCAATTTGCGAACTAGAGCAATTGAGAATTATTTTGGCGGAAAACGATGACGTAAACGGTTAATCTAGTGTGAACTTGGGTATAATAAGTACCGAATCTCCCAACAAACCCGAACTGATAAACAAGAAAAAAGATCACCGTTTCACTTCTTTAGAAGGCCTACTTATGATGATTACGAATATATCCCGAAAAATGAATGAATTGAAAAAGAATGAAACTGAAATTAGAGCTCATTGCTAACCATCAGTAATATCTGAAAACATTACAATTCTAATAACTTGAATCAGAGCAACTAGATCACAATCAACAAGTGCGAATACAACGAAAACAGCGCATAATATATTCCTAATACTTGAACTTGAGTTAAGAAGAAAGTTTGTAAAACCGTAAACAACAATAAACAATGGAAACATAACCTCAATAAATTTGTAGCTATCAGCATGGATTGGTGTTAAACTGGTTTTGGGCGTGGTTGCCTGGTATAATTTACTAATTTCTTGAAAACCACGAAAATTCACTCAGGTTCAAGCCGGAATTTTATTTTGATTCTTTTCATTTCAAGATTCATCTTTGAGTAATGGAGGTATTCTAGATATCATTGAAATATATATCTATATTTTGTCTGGATTAGTGATTTCATCAGGCATCATTGAATAATTATAGATATATCTATATTTTGTCTGGATTAGTGATTTCATCAGGCATCATTGAATAATTATAGATAGTTTTCTCTCCTGTAAGTTGGCCTTTTGAAATATGAAATCCAATGTTTCCTCTTCCAGAAACCATCATCAACTTATTTTTTTCAAATGTGGACCTGGAACTTTTGGATAGCCCAAAACTCGACCCAAAAGCTATGAGCTATTACAATTTCGAATGTTTATTATAGGGATTTCTTTATGTGCGCTTGTCCATTAAGCTAGCAGAACCACTTTGAATTTTTGATTTTTTTTCTTCGGCCATAATTCAAGGCTAATTTGAGGCTAATTTATTACCATACAATAGCAAATCAAAAAACGTTCGATCACGAAATGCATTATTCCATAATTTAAGGCTAATTGAAAGCTCTTATCCTAGCCTACTGTCGTTTTTGTCGCACATTTTTTTTTTAATCATGGGTTTTGCTAGTTATAATTTGTTTCGTGATTGAACTTTTTTCGATTTGTTATTGTATTGTCATGTATTACATGTTGGATTTGGGAAAATTTTTGCAAAAAATGATAAACAAAAAAATCGTTGAACAAAGAGCCTTAAATTAGCCTTAAATTATGGTGTAGTCAATAACCTCATCCCTTCTATTTTAGATTTGGTTCTTCTAGCTTAATGGTCAAGCTTGCAAGAACCATGATTTTTTTAAACAATGTGCGAAAATATCGGCAATAGGCTTAGAGCCGCAGATTAGCCTTAAATTATGGTATAATTAGTTTCGTAATGGATTTGTTTTGGTTTGCTAATGGTTTGTCTTGCTCATGTTGGATTTGAGAAAACTTTTGCAGAAAATGATCAACAAAAAAATTAAATTATGGTGTACTCAATATTCTTATATTCCTTCTACCTATTTGAGATTTGGTTCTGCTAACTTAACGGTTGAGCTAGCAAAACCCATGATTAAGAAAAATAATGTGCTGAAAAATCGGCGATAGGCTAGGATTAAAGCCTTAAATTAGCCTCGAATTATGATATAATTAATTTTGTGATTGAACTTTCATTTACGAAGTGGTCCTGCTATCTTAAGAGCAGAACTCACGTTTTTTGCATAAATCGAGGAGCAATAAATTCGGCAATAGGGCAATAAATTAGCCTCAAATTAGCCTAAAATTATGTCCGAAAAAAAAATTTTAACATTCGAAGTGGTTCTGTAGCTTAATGGAGGTTTTCGTCACTGCATAGTCTGTTTCATGTAATTTTTTTTATCGCTTGGAGCGCACGAAAGGGAATCCCTATAATATTCAAAGAACATTGTGCGTTCCTAGGGAGGATAGGGACAGGAGGTAGGTATTGGATTTTTTCTTGAACTTTTGGAGATTATATGTTGTTGGGAATACTTCCACAGGCAATGAATTCCAGAGCCTAGCCGTTCTATGAATGAAGGAGTTTTGATAAAGTGCTGGTCGACATCTTTCGAGGTTGACAACGAAAGGATGTGCTGACTGGGCTTGTCTAGTTCGTCTGACTGGTATTGCTAGTGGAGGGATGATAGCAGAGATTTCCGAAGAACATTTCCCGTGGAAGTATCGGTAGAAAAGTGAAAGGTCGCCGACCTTTCTACGGTGTTCCAATGATGTCAAAGAGTGAGTGAGTGTGGCGTCACCCACCAGGCGAATGGCTCTTCTCTGGATGGAATCTAAGAGCATCAGCGTATGTTTTGGTGCTGAACCCCATATGTGGGAACAGTATTCTAGAACAGGCCGTATCTGCGCTTTGTA